ACCCTGGGCTGGGCTGCATGGGCACATCTGTCCCCATCTCATTTCACCCTCTCCCCAAATACCCTCTAGAGGTTAGAAGGCATCACGTCAGTCCTTGGGTGAGAGTGGAGAGCCCCCCACAGCCTCCAGGTGGGATCCTGCATCTTGTGACTTTTTCTCTGCACTCGGCTTTCTGGGGGCCTGGCCATTGCCACTGGCCACTGACCTGGCCTCAGGTGGCTGCCAGGTCCAGCCTTCCTGGCCTTCAGAGTCCTGGCTGCACCTTTCTGGGGCCCAGCATGGAGGCTCTTATGAGAGAAAGCACCAAAGTACCCTCTTGTGTGTGTCACCCCCTAGGTTCCTCGGGGACCAAATCCCTCACCCACCCCCTCCCTGGTGGCTGCAGTGGCCCCAAGGGTCCCCTTCATATTCTTCTCTGCTCCTTCCTTGCTCACCCCCCTCAAGCCTGAGCCCCCCTCCCCACTGTGCTAGGTTTAGCCTAGTCCAGTCTGTGTCCACTGGACGAAGGGACTTCTGCAACTCTGAGATCTTCTCTGCCTCAGGAATGGAAACCCACTGTGGGTCAGAGACTTGTTTCCTCGAAAGCATCCCCAATGCCAGTAAGGGCTCACAAGCCTCTCCCAACTGGTGGGCAGGAGTTTGTCAGAGGAGAAAATTCTTTAAAAACTAAGACTGGGCAGGGGAGTTACCTACCAACCCCAGCCTGTTATGAGGAAGATAGTGGGTCACAAACTTGGACAGATAGGAGTCTAAGGACCACCCCCAGCGACTTTGGCTCACGGAGCTCCCCTGTTGGGGTGAGTGTTGGATTTACAGCCGAGTTTTTAGACCCGTCCACCAGGGAGGGTGCAGTCCCCAGAGACCCCTATAGGTAAGGCTGGCAGTTGGCCCTTGCCCTCAGGGGAGCTGTGTCCCCTGGGTGTCCATACCCTGTTATGTTCTTGAGGCACTCAGGGGGGGAGTGGGGTGGGGTGGGGTCAGGAATACAAGGAACTGTGGTTCTGGAATGACCCAGTGAGCCCAAATCTGTAGAATGAACTGAGGCCAACAACACCCCAATGGTGGTGCTGGGGCCATGCCCTCTGAGGGTCTTCCTGGTGGCAGTTGGGAGCGCCTCAAAAGAGGGACCTCCAAACTGAGGCCTGGGTGGGGCCAAGGGAGCCTTAGGGGGGACAAGACCCATCTTCGGGGCCCTGCGACAGCCAAGGTGGCACCCCAGTCTGGGGCCCTGTCTGGTCAGGAGGCCATGTGGCAAACTGAAGACCATGCTCTTGAGAGGTCTCTCCTGCTGGCTTGTCCGTTGGAGGGCGGAACCCTGCGGCAGTGGCTGTTGGGACAGGGCCAGCTAGGCAGCCGGGATTTGTGGACTCGCTTTCTCAGGAGCCAAGTACCCAGGGAGCCCTGGGGATAGGACTCGCTCACAGAGGGGTCTCTCAGGAGGTACCCACCCCCATCTCCACCCCCACCTGCTGGCAGCTGAGCAACCCCCCGGGAGAGCTGGCACTGTGCTCCCAGTATTTCAGGGTCCCCTCCCACAGGCTGCCCTCCGCTCCTCCTTGACTGAGGACTGTGCTCAGGGAACGGCACCCTCCCCTCCCCTCAGGGGCCTCCCCAGCCAGCACTGGAGACTTTGACCATGGCCTCTAGTCCTGCTTGCTTTCTCCTCAGTCTCCCTGAAATTTACAGGCCTCTGGTGACCTCCAGACGACATTGAGAAAAACCCCATACAATTGGGCCTGTGGGGAGCCAGGCTGTCCTGGGTCCCACCCCTAAGAACTCATCCATGTCCTTAGAAGTCCCTCTGGCTGTGGCCATTCATTGCTGGGCTCAGAGAATAACTTTTTTGCTGTCCTGCATCCAGTGAGACTGTCCAGGGCCAGTGGGATCCAACCACCCTGCAGAGTTGCTGAGTGACCTTGGGGCCAGCACTGCCTCCTTGATCTCAGATGTCAAAAGGACACCCTCAAGTGTGCCCACAGGCCAGAGAGGCTAGTCCATAACCTCCCCCAACTTGAGCCCCTGCCAGGCCCCAAGGCCTGACCCCTTCCATCTTCCCCTGGGGTTCCCCAGGCAGCCAGGCCCTCTGGAGCTCAGAACTGGCAGGGCCCGCCACACCAGCTCCCCCCTCAAGGGTGTAAGGCAGGGCTCGCTGACTTCTTTTTTTCTTACCTTTCTTTTAAGCCTCATATCTTCTTTAATTTTAAATAAGGGACTTTTTTTCCCTGATAAGGGCAATCCATGCTCATTGCAGACAAGTTGGACATTTTTGAAAAGGGTACAGGAAGAAAAATCTCCTGGAACCCCAACACCTAGAGATTAGTCTTAATTTAAAATTAGAATCTCATGACCTTTCCATTCCCTGTAGGAGGGGCCCTGAGCAATGTCCACATCATTCAATTGTCTTCAGAAACAGCGTTCTTACCCTTCCTTCCTCTATTTTTGAATACCTATGGCTATTTTAAAGCCATGAAGAACCGTTGTGAATTTTTTATGCATTTCTCATTTTTTCCAAAGATTATATTTCTTGAAGTGGGATTCTTGGCCAACTAGTGTGCATTTCTGGGGGTCTGAGCCACACCCCCCAGAGGGAGACTGTTATCTTTATAACCTTTTCAAGGATCTTTTTAAAATGTTTTGGTTTTTTTTTAAATTATTGATTTTTAGAGAGGAAGAGAGAGGGAGAGATAGAAACATCGATGAGAGAGAAATATTGATTGGCTGCCTTCCACATGGCCCCCACTGGAGACCACGCCCACAATCAGGCCATGTGCCCTGACCAGGAATCAAACTGGCGACCTCTTGGTGCATGGTCAACACTCCATCACTGAGTAACACCAGCCGAGCTCAAAGATCTTGACATGAGTAATGCTTTTTGTGCAGGACTTCTGTGTGTAGCCTGGAGCTCCTTTTTGATTTGACTTAGGGCATATCTGAGTCATTCTCCAGGCACCTGGCCCTGTCTTTAGGAGGGCTCTCTTCCCTGGTGGAGCTTACAGTCCAGGGAACAGACAGCAGGCACTGCCAATACTGGGGCGTAAAGGGCACTCTAGGCAGGGGTGGGTGGGGAGGGCAGAGTGAGGTTAGGGGTGAAAAAGTGCAGGGGTGCAAGGGGCAGTGGGGAAGAGATGTCCAGGCAATAGGGCAGCTTGTCAAGGGTGGTGGAGGTGGTGGTGGGGGGGTCGGTGGAAGAAGTGAAAAACCCTTGTGGCCCTGGGGTGGTGTTGGTGATGGCAGTGGACGAAGCTCCAGGGTCCTCGAGGCTGGGGCCAGGAGGGTGGGTCTCTCACCTGGTGGTGGTAGCAGGACAAGGGAGGTCATGGCAGGTAGAGGGACTGAGCATGCTGGGGACAGCGTCCAGTGAGAGAATAGCCCACACTTTCTATTCCCCCAGCAGCTTCCCCAGCTGGCGGCTGCTTTCTCTGGCCAAATTGTCCTCCATAGGGTCTGAGTACCCTGGGCCTCCTTAATGTCACCTCCTGGGGTTCTCTGTCCCTTTCTTTGACTTTGGATTTCCTGGAGTTTTACCTCACCTCCTCCAGGAAGTCCCCCTAGGCTTGTTCCTACTGTTATTTCCAACAGCCTGGCCTTATCCCAGGCTCAGAATGGATGACAATGACCTTTGCTTCTTCCATGAAAAGAGTTTTGGGGGGCTAGTTTGCAGAAGGGGTTCAACCTCCAGAGAAAACTGTCTCCTCCAAACACATCCACAGCCCCCCCAGCTGAAGCCAATAGCCAGAGTACAGGTCACGAGTGTCTCTGTGGAGGCAAATGCCCCTGCGTGGGTGCTGGGACGCTCTCAAGGAGGTGCTACCGAGGCACACAAGCCCTAGCTGGTTTTTCTTAGTGGTTAGGGCACCGGACGATGGACTGAAGGGTCCCAGATTCGATTCTGGCCAAGGGCATATACCTCAGTTGCAGGCTCCATGCTTGGCCCAGGTCGGGGCAGGTGCGGGAGGCAACCAATGTGTCTCTCACATTGATGTCCCTCCCTCCCTCCCTCCCTCCCTCCCTCCCTTCCGCTCTCTCTAAAAAGCAATGGAAAAAATATCCTTGAGGAGGGGGAGGGAAAAAAAAGTCACACAAGAGTGAGGCCACTGGGTGGGCAACAGGAAGCTGAGGGTGGAGCTCAGGAAAGAAGACTAGCGTGGTCAGGGCTGGCACGCGGTGGTGTGAGCCCTGAAGGGGCTGGATGGAGGGGAGACGGGGTTGGCCAAGCAGACAGCCTTGGGGAGTCGTTAGGACTTGGGTTCTGGGGGAAGGAGCAAGAGGGGTCACAGGGATGCCAGGACCCTGGTGCAGCTGATGGTTGAGGGGGTGCCATCCCCCAGGGAAGAAGCAGTGGGCTCAGGGACCTGAGGGGGCACACCTGCAAGCTGCCACCTGGCCCAGCCCCGAGAGGGGCCTGTGGCTTGTAAGAAGCACAGATCTGGCCTGTCTAATGGAAAGAGGCCCCACCATTCCCTCTGGTGAAAGCTGGGCAGGATGGAGGTTCTGGGAGTGCCGAGGGCAGAGGATGACCCAGGCTGCCCTGGTGTCAGCAACGGCCTCTCAGAGCACACAGCCTGCCCACTCTTTGACTGGTCCTCAGTGCCTCATGTGGCTGGCTGCCCCTCATGGTGGCCCTTTGCTTGAGTCGTGGATGTAGGGACAGTGGGAGGCAAGTGTGGTTGCTGCCATATGACTCAGGACAGGAAATCACAGATCTTCTGGGGCAGGGAGTCTGGAGGGATAGGCTGGGGCCGCGGGGATTTGGAGGTTGGCAATGCCTGAGGGGCCTCAAATGTGAACTCAAGTAAGGAGCCTTGTCCTTCCCTCCTTTCCTAGGTGACACAGAGAGCTCTTGGAGCTCGGTGACTTACCGTGGGGACTGGTAAGGTTTGGGGTGACTGACGGAGGTGGAGGGCCTGGTGTGGTCTGGCCCGTGCTTGAGCAGTGTGAGTGCTGCTGTCCTGGATCCCTGTCCCAGGAGGTGCCACTCTCCATGGTAGCCGAACACAGTGATGGCTTTCACCGTCCCTACTGGAAGTCTAACTGCTTGTCACCCCGAGGAGGAGGAGCTGGAGGAGGAAGAGCTAGACATCGGTGAGCGCCGTTGGGACCCCCACAGCCCATGGAGCGCCCTGGGCGGGCATGTCCCTGGCCCCTGGCTCTGAGATGAGCCTCCTCTCTGGCCTTTGTTTTCTGGTGGGAGGAAGGCACACCTTAAGTCTGCCTGGGCAGAGGAACAACTCCCCTCTGAGGTCTTCTCCTGATACTGTATGTGTGGGGCAGTGGGCAGACAGAAACTTCCAGAAGGGCTTCAATGAGAGAGAGACCGGTGGGGGGGGGGAGGAGAGAATAAGCTGTCCCTCTGCAGCCTTACAAGACAGGTGAGGTTTGCTGCAGTGGCTCTCCCACACCCCACTTTCAGCACCATGAAGGTCACAGCCATCCCTGTACCCAAGAACTCAAGAACCAGAGCTGCCTGGGGTACCACCTGCACCACACATTGCCCATCCTGCTCTGGGGACGCAGGCCCCTCCTCGAGAATATTAACAACACAGGTGTTTTGTGGTATTTGGTCCCAGTGCTCAGTGCACAGTAGATCTTCTAAAAGTTTTGACCGAGTGATTGAGTAAATGAATGGCTCCAGCTGGTAACAAATGGGTCAGTGTCATCAGCGAGGTGGCCTGGCCTTGCACTCACTATGTGACGTGGCCCTGGCTGTGGATGTCAGCTGGGGGTTCCCAGAGCAGACACTCATCTCTGCTGTTGCTGGCTTGGGTGTAGGACATTCTAGGACATACAAGGCAGGCTCCTCTTTAAGACACCCACATACCCAAGGCAAGGGGCTGGACAGGGAGGGGCAGGGAGCGATAGGGTGGGGCCCACGCTGCTCCGGACACAATGGGATACTGGCTTCACAGTCTTTTTTTTTTTCTGATCAAAGGAGTATTGATTATTTTCACAAAGGTGTTGGAGAGTGTGGCACCCGTACTCACTGCTACCGTCATGAAGAGCCCGGGCTGGGCTCTGTGCAGCCCCGTTGCCGCCCTCAGCAGCATCTCGTTTGGTGCCCACCTTGTGCTGCATTCACAAAGCCCTTCCCTACCGGGGCTCACAGGCCGCAAAACCCACAGTTGGCTCGGGATGCTTCCAGTTGTTTGGAAATTCAAACATAACCACCTGGAATTTATTTGGGTGCAAGGAGTAGGTTAGGGACCCAGGTTGAGTTTTTGTCCCAAATGATTAGCAATTCCTTTGGCAGAGTTCTTGTGGGCTGAGGTTTCCCGTTGTCTTTCCCGGGCTACGTTCTGAGCTGTCCTGGGGCACTGCTCTGGCTGGTCACCATGCCTCTGGGCTCTCCAGCACCCCGTGAGGTGTCTGCCTTCTACATTTGCAGTTTCCTGGCTACTTTCACACCACTTTCCCTGCAAATGCCTTGTAAAAAAAAGCAGTTCAGGCTGGTGTGAATTAGGGGTCCAACTGCACTGGGAGCTGGGAGGTCTAGGGCTTCCCCTCGGCGCTCTCAGCTCAGGCTGCAGGCCCTGCCTCTCTGCTTCTCTACTCTGCAGACCTCCCAGAAGGAGCGATCATGGGCGAGCCTCTGAGTGACAGCCCGCTTTGGGAGACAGTGCTTGTTGGCAAAATCAGGGCCATGTCAGTCATGGAGAAGAGCCTGGTGTTGGAGGCTGTCCATCAATGCCTCCAGGAGCAAAACCAGGTGGGACCTGGGGGACCCTCACCCCACTGCTCTCTGCTGCTCCAGGACTCACAGGGGGCTCCCACCAGCCTCTGAGTCCCTGAATCCCTGACCTTCAGCATGTGCGTGGAGGAGCCAGTGGGGCACACAGACCCTGACATTTGATGCTAAGACGCCACTGTCGGTGTCCATCAGCCAGGAGTGGGCCTGGTGCCACACGGAACCAGACACACCTTGCTCCTCCCTTGAGGCCTCCAGAGCTCCTGAGGACCTGGTGTGTCCAGCCCACTGCTGTGCCCCAGGAAGCCTGGACCCAAGAGGGACCTCCTGTGATTGCTCTATAACCAGCACTGGGGACCCAGCCCTGCTCCTCCCCAATGCCCCCCCCTCTTACTGTGTGTTGTTCCCTCCCACTGTCCAGTGTGAAGGCGGCTGAGCTCCTGGGTGGGTCAGGGGCTGTATCGGCCCCTCTCCTCCACATTCCTGCCTCAGATTCTCTGGGAGTCTGAGGCTGACAGACAGGACTGAGGGGGAGAAATCACAGCAGAGCACGTGTGCTTACACAGGGAAATAGGCTTCAAGCAAATGCACACCTAGGCTCTGGGGGCCCTCTGCCGAGCCAGGCACAGGGAGAGCTGTCTAGTCAGTGGAGACAACCTGTGCAAAGGCCCTGAGGTCAACAAGACAGCAGCACAAAAGGGTGGGGATGCTTTCAGAGATGCTGGCAGGGCCAGTCGTCACCGGTTCACCAGACAGGTTAAGGGATTCAGCCTCTGTCTTACGGGTGGGCGGCTCCAGGGTCAAGCACAGGTGAGTGTGGCCAGAATTTCACCTAGAGTGAGCCCTGCAGGGGCCTGTCTGTCCTGTGCACTCTGGCTTAGACCCGCCAGCCGGGTGGAGCCCACAGGCTTGAGCACTATGCTCTCAGTCTGCCCGCAGTGCATCCTGGAGGAGGAGGTGTCAGATGCCGGCATCCGGGAGCTCCTGGCGTCCTTGAACCTGGACCTCCAGCAACCTTTGGAGAAAGTCAGTATCTGGGAGGGGCTGCCTGGGGCTGGAGAGCCTGGGGAGGCTGTGACTGCTCAGGTGCCACTCGTCCCCAAGTGACCGACATTACTTGAAGCTCCGTGTGCACGGAAAGTGCCAGAAAGGCATGAGGAGTGCCGTTGCCATGAAGAGGCTCTGCTCCTACCGTGGCTGCTTCAGGACACTCACCCCGATCAGATGGGCCAAGCTCAGTGGGAACAGTGGCCTTGGGGGCACCAGTTCCCTGTTCACCCACTTAGCACAGGTGTCCCGAGCACTGTCCACTAGCTGCTGGGCCCCAGGGATGTGGTAATGGCCAATGGCCAGGAGAGCAGTGCAGGCCCCACCCACGGGAGACCCATGAGAGGGTGACGTCAGCAAGGCAACTTGGGAAATGTGCCCCATCCGAGTTGTGTGGCCCAGTGTAGAAACTACACATTTTCATGAAGAGAAAATAAAGGGGAATTCTAGAATATTCTGAGTTGGCCTCCTGTACCCACGTGAAATGTGGTCATGGCCTGCCTCCTGGTGCCTGAAGGGAGTGGGCGGGAAGTCTGATGTGGCCAGAGGGCTCCATTCAGGCCAGGCTGCAGGCAGCACTTTGGGTGGCTTGAGTGGGCCTGGGGCCACAGGAGCAAGATGGGGCTCAGCCCCA